AAAGAAAGAGAGAAAGAAAGAGAGAAAGAAAGAGAGAAAGAAAGAGAGAAAGAAAGAGAGAAAGAAAGAGAGAAAGAAAGAGAGAAAGAAAGAAAGAAAGAAAAAAGGAATGGAATCTTGTCTTACTTCGCTTAGGTGTGTATGCACCAGCCAAGGGAGGGTTCTTGGTGAACTCTTGCCGGAGTTTTTCCATCAGCTGTTCCAATGCTGGCCCATCAGAGCAATACTGTGCAAACAGTGTGCCATCACGGGATACCTCAGTGATCATTACAGGTTTATAATCGAGAACTCTGTCGTGCTGCAATTCTTCAACCTTTGAAAAGAAGTTGTATATGATGTCAATGGCATATGTCAAACTGAATAAAATAAAACTTACTGATAATCAATGTCATTTATACACCATTATATCAAAATATATAACCTTAAAACTTCACAATCTTAACACCTACCTTTTCTTCTTTCTCCTCTTCAACATAGTTGGCCCAAATGTTTAACTTCTTTTGCTTAGCAGCTGTCTGAGCAGAACTGAGAACATGGTAGAACTTGGAGGACTCTGCTGTAACATGGACAGAACTCAAGCCCTCTTCCACCAAATGTACAGAGAGGTTCTTCTTGTCAACATGCAGCCAACCAATATAGTTTCCTCCTTTGTCCATGGAATCCACCTGTTTCAAACAAAATATTAACCCTTTAGTGACAGGCAAGCAAGCAGGTGGGCTAGCTGTCGCAGCACAAGGCCTACTGGAAAGGCTAGATTGTTATATGATTATGTCAAAATTCTGGCTGTTATGATAGGGTTAATAAAAGGAAGGCATACATGAAAGTTATAATAAAAGATGCTAGTTGTGTAGTGCAAACCCTTGTCTTGAAATCACAAAATTTACCTCAATCTCAACTTCCCGTTGCATAATTAGGCTTTTGCTGAGGTTGAGTGCTTCTTCCCCAAAAGGTTCACCAGGGAGGGTGCCTCCTCCAGGGGCAGGTCTTGACCCTCTGGGACAGCTGATTCCCGCAAGAAGGAATGTAATCAGACAAGTTTCTCGTGGGATGAAGAGTCGGAAGCGAGATCCTGAAGCAACAAATTCCACAACTGCTTCAGTGCGGCCAGCACGCTGAAGGAAGGGCAGGAAACTCTTTGCCTTGCTCACGTCCTGAAAAAAAGATGAAAGAATATAAAATCAGATTATACCTGATCTTAATTCAGATTATTAATCACAAGTACTATAAAGCTCCAGTTTTCATTTCTATCATCTTGTATACAATCAAAAGAGACCATAGATTTTAAAAATCATTTAAATTCTCTATAATATACTTTCTTCACAATCATTTATTAGTTTAGTCAATACTGTTTTCTGTGCAAGTGTATAAACACTACAGTTATATATCAATTGCCAATCAAATCTTTGTTAATTCTTTTTAACACATACTCTTAAAACATAACCAAAGAACAAAGTAACTATTCTATAATTGTTAGCGAGTCAAAATCTATTTCCTATACTTACCCCTGATATGTCTGCAATTCTGTGGATTGGGGTTTCCTTCTTGTTATGTAGTCCCTTGTTCGTTTTGATAGCCTTGGCTTCAGCTGACAACAAGTCGTCATAGCAGCTTGCACGCTGGTCATCATCTTGTCTATACCTGACCACTGTAGCAAGGCCCTTGCTTACCATTGCTTCTGCCACATTGCTAAGAAATATAAAATCACAAGATAAGACAATTATATACAATTAAAAGCCTTCAAAGCAAATATCGAGTGTGACAATTGTTTGCTATACATTGACCCACGGAAATGCTAATACAATAGCAATATTCTAATATAGTCACCTGCATATTCAATATTCATCACTCAGCTGCAAGGATGTGGGTTTCTGAGAAGATGTTTGACAAATATGTATAACATAAGATACAAGGAAAGAAAATGAATGAAAATGAAAAAAAGAAATATCAGTATCATCAATACAAGTGAAATTAATGAAAGTAATGCAAAAAAGAAACTGCTTTTGTACATTTGTGGGATTATATGATGTTTTAATAGAGGTTGGCTCTAAGCTACATAATCCTGAGAGTGAGAAAGGCAATGCTTGGAAGACGAATATTAGGAAGCCAATTGGAATAATTTTGGATAAAAGTATTACACGATATAGAAGAAGTTCCTTGAATCTGTATACAAATAAGCAGTAAGGACTTGCTCTATCATACTGAACTTCTACAGACACTCAAAAGTAATGGTTGAAATTTAGAATAAAACATGATCTCTAAATCTACAACTATAGCTATTAGAAACACAAAAAGCAAACATGAGAACTATTCAAGGTTCTACATAATACCAAATGTATTAGGCAGTCATGCAAAATCATGAAAAAGAAAAGAACTACCTCCAAGTGTTCATAGACAAAAAGGCAGAATATTCTATTTGCTTCAAGCTATTACAAATGTATCTTGGTCAATGCTGCATTCAAAAGTAAATAAAAGAACAAAACTAGTCACCTCAAACACTTCAACACATACCTTCGTTGCACATTTGACATCAAAGTAACTAATTCAATTCCTTTATTCATATGATCCTTTAAATATTAAAAAAAAAAAATACATCATATAGTATGGATATCTACTTATAATAAACAAGAGAAATTACAAACAAGCAGGCACAGACTGGCCAATAATATTTACTCACATATCTCCAATCTTGACAGTGCAGCAAGTCTTCTCAGGGTAATTATTCTGTGCTGGCTGGATAAAATCAACCGTGATTTGGACCTTCTGGCCAATAAGCTTCTTGCGCAAGAATTCTCGGGTCTCAAACAGCCATGGAATGTCATAAAGAGGACGGAAGTTCTTGCCCGGAGCACGAGGACCCTCAGATTCTGGTAGCCTGCAATAATGTTTTCAGACCCTTAAAACATTATAATTATTCTAAACTGTTTTAATATATAGAGTAAAAATAAACCTCCAGGAGTTATTACTGGTACATAATCTTTTTAACAATCAGTTACAAATTCTCTATGGATCTATGAATAATATATAATAGAAAATAAATCTAACAAGTTCTGTACCATTTACTTACCTGGGTGGTCTTATGCTTGCAAGGAAGATCTTCTTGGTGGAGCCGTCCTGACGCTTAACCACCAAAGCATCACCATTTACGACTTCTATGACCTTGCCAGTGAATTCCCTGTCTTTGTCAGCAATCTGTAGATGATCAGATACATAAATATCTTTCAATGTACAAATAAAAGTTAAATTCTGTAAGCGTATTATAAGAAAGCTTGTGTCTTACCACCATTTTCAAGTCATCTTCCATTCCTTCTTTTATTCTAAAAGTAAATGGCAGTGCTGAAGAGAAGAGCAGGAAGAGGAAGAATAGGAAAAATAGCCTTGCCATACCTTGGGACCAGAGGGCTTATAGTCAGTCCACAGACGAAGTTTCTTTTCCTTCGCCAGCTTCTCTGCAGCACGTAACTTCTCAGGGCCTCCAGTGACTGAGGCTATGGACCAGTCCACACATCGGGCAAATCCTTCTCGCAAAAGAGCTTCTGCAATATTTCCATTCTGGGAGAGATGGGGAAAAAATCTTTATTAATAAATCTTAGATAATATACACTTTGAATTTTACTTAAATAAATACAGAATTTGCAAACATTTATTTACAAAAAGGGAGTGGGGAGAAGAGGGAATCACATGTCCTTACAGGATGAATGATGGATCCAACAAAGTTGTTGTTGTTGAAGGTCTCTAAAATAACTTGGACGTCACGCTGCAAAAGTCTGGATTCAGTGTAATAGCGAGCTTCATCAGCAAATGGTTCACTGCTGGTCTTGTCTGGTTTACCTTCAGAATCCAATTTGTTCATTGGACACTGAAATTCAATTAAATTTTGTTAGTTTAAAACAGTTATCTTCCTGTGCTAATTATTTAACAAATCTTACTGGACATTATAATATATCCCAGCCAATAATCTTGTAAAAAGGAAATGAGGGTTATAAAGAAAGGGAATCTGCTCAATGCTGTAGGAGAATTAATCTACAAAAAATAAGCAGATTTTGAGGATACAGGTATACAACCAATCTGAAGGCATCCTTGATATCTGGACTATTTCCCATACTGTCTGACCAACAAAGGTCACAATTCAACAGTACTCTGCTCAAATGTGTGCAAAATAACCCAGTATCGCATAAATCTACTAATCTTTGCACCTCAGAAAACTTACTCTGATTCCAGAAATCATGAGCGTGATGTAATTGAAATCAGGAAGAAGCAAGCACCGCACAGTAGATCCATCACGGACATGCTCAATCACAGCATCAATTGGCTTTCCTCTTGCCTTGTCCACAAAGGAACGCATGTTGTCACAAGTCCACTTGATATTCCGAACATGCTGAGCATCACCACCTGCCCACCTTCCCTGTTCAAATAAAAGTCCCACAAGTCAAATCAGGTATTTCTTTAACTATTTCATCAGAATACTTGATTATCTTGTGTAATAGATCTATCTATCTATTTTTCTACTTATATATATACATACATAGAGAGAGAGAGAGAGACAAAGAGAGAGAGAGAGAGAGAGAGAGAGAGAGAGAGAGAGAGAGACAAAGAGGGAGAGAGAGAGAGACAAAGAGGGAGAGAGAGAGAGACAAAGAGGGAGAGAGAGAGAGACAAA